AGAGCTGCCGTTCATGGGGACCCAGAGAAGTTCTGAAGGTTCGCCTTGCCTTGGTTGCTAATGCTGATGGCACCTGTCAGTTCAAAGGAAAACACCAGCTACTCCATGAGAACCAGGGAACCAGGGCAATCCTCCCCCTGGACCAGTAACTATTCCTTGAGGATGTAGGTCTGCGTGGCAAGGGCTCTGGTGACTGCCTTCCCCACACAGCCCTCTCTTGCTATATATTCAGCCCACTGTTTCTGCAGGTCCACATCTACGACCTCAGCAGAAGGTGGGTTGAAATCACTGGGGGAAGAGAAGGGTGTATCAGTATTGACCATGCACAGATCTTTCCCCTTGTTCTGCCCTAGACTACATGACAGGATTAGTGTGTTCTAGGCATTAGGTGTTATATGTTATCTAGAGATGCAATGGTTGGGTCTGAGCCCTCATGAACCAATCACATTTCAGAAGCCCATCAGATGACAATCAGCCTTTGACACATGGTTTATGGGAATGGTGGATTCATCCAGGGATTCATAGGCATCATCCATGGGGGAAAGTTTAGGAGGCAGGCCTCGTTAGAGGAAGTAGGTCAGTGAGGGCCTGCCTTTGAAGAAAGTACTTGTTCCTGGCCCTTTCTTGGTGTGTCTATCTCTCCATTGACATGAGCTGAGTGGCTGTGTTCTCACGTACTATATCATGATGTTCCTCCTCCCCACAGACAAAGCCCCAGCGACAGAAGCAGCCAAGCATAGAAGAAGAAGTCACACCAACAACAGAGTCAGAATACAAGACCTCAGAATCAGCCAAAATAAGCCTGGTCTTCCTAAACCCTCGCTCTCGGACATTCAGCCAAGCAAAGGACCACAGCACAACCCAGCTGCTGGTGAACCGTACGAAAACCAGATCATCCAAGGCCACTTGGATTGTCTCTCCCCAGTCGTTCAGCAACAACTGATTCCTCCTGCCCCTGCAGAGGACGCTGGGTGGCCCCTGCACCACTTCTCAGAGCTGCAGCTCTGGGGTTGTTTTCTAAAAAGAGGCTGTCTGTTGTCAATGAGGTGTCACCTGAAAGCTGACCACAGCCACTTTCCCACACTCCTCCTTCCCAGAACAAACAGTAACAAACGGGGAGGGGGAAGGGATCCTGTCCCAGGCTGTGGAGAGGAAGCCCTGGCCTCCTGAGCTCCGTTACACGTGTTTCTCCTATTTAGAGCATGCCAATGAATAATGGAAAGAGAACAGGGTGGAGCCTTGAGGGAGGTAAGGTGGGGCCCAGGATTTCTCAGTGGATAATGGTGGGATTTGGATCGTGCAGCTTTTACAGAACACCACGATGCTGGAAAGTCGGTTGCTATTTTGGGACGTGGCTTTGTGGCCTGGCCCTCACTGTGAAGAACTATTTATATGCCTTGTGAATATAATTCCAAAGCCTTGCCCAAGAACATTCTGGGCTTTGTTTCCCATTTGTTAGCATTTGATCAAAGGCTACTTCACCCGTGAGTTTGAAAACCCAGAGTGGAGATTCCGCTTTAGGTCCCATCTGGGCAAAGTTTGCCCATAGAAGCAAATCTATTTGTTTTCTTGCTTTGATGCTGGTACACTTGGAATTTCTGGTGCTGATTTCACATGAGGGAAAAGATTTCACCCATCTTTCCCTTCTGGAAATGGAGGCAAAAGTCAAACAGAAAAGGCTTGACAGTCTTCACTTGTCTTGGACAGCAAGACATAGAATTCAAGAAGTTATATAATGTAGCACTATATTTTAGCTTAAAGATTGTGTGTATGTGTGCTTATGGGAGGAATCACATGTATTTGAGGATATATATATGCTCACATACATGTGAGACCAGAAGCAACTTCCAGCATCGTTTCTCAGGTGTCAGGTGCCTTCTTTACCAGAAAGGATCTCTCACTGGCTGTAACCTTCCCTGTAGGATAGACTAGCTGGCAAGGAAGTCTGCAGGAATCCACCTGTCTCCACCTGGGATTCCAAGCATGGGACATCATGCCTGACTTCTTTGCATGAGTTCTGGAGAATGAACTCAGGTCTCTGTGTCTGTGTGATAAACACTTTAACAGCTGAGTTGTCTCCCCAGGCCTGGAACATATTTTCTAAAATTCTTAGTACTAGCACTTCAAAGCAAAAGGAACATAAAAATAAATAAAAGAGATAGGCAGTGCACAGCTGTGAACGACTTGACTGTTACCTGGGTCTCACGCTAGAGTTAAGGCGTCAGAGACGATGTCTACACACCATGACCTCGTCCATGAGTACCATTGATCAGGCCTAATTATGAAGGAAATGGGACAGAGGTGGTTTCTTGTGCCTACAAAAATCACTGTCCTGGGGCTGAAGAGATGGTTCAACTGTTAAAAGCACTTGCTGCTCTTAATGAGAGCCTGGGTTCAATTCCCAACAACTACATTGAGTAGCTTACAACTATCTGTGATATATAATAACCTCTTCTGGCCTCCCCAGGTCCCTGCACTCATGTGCACATACCCAAAACACAAACACATACCCATATGTATATTTAAAAATAATAAAAGTCATACCCACTCTGGACTCTCCCAGATGTCCCTGACTCTGGCTATGCTCTCCCACGTATCTATAGTAAACCTTCTCCTCCACCACAAGATGATAATAACTATATTAATAATAACAATGAAAAGAAAAAGCCATAATCCTAGTAACAAACTACCATCTGAAGCTCAGGCAAACACCTTCTGCTCACAGAACATTGTTTGGAGTACAGACCTCTCAATTCCAGGAACTGGATGACCCCCAAGTGAGTATCTCAGGCCCTTTTCCAGACACAATTGGCATTTGCCATCATGTGAGTTAGCTGAGGGAGAGAGATGGGAGGACCACAATGGGTACCTGGAAGCCCTGGGATCCAACAACACTTCCGATGCTGAAAGGCCTTGGACAAGCTGCCTACAGCCCCATACCTCAGCAGCTCATCTATCAGGACCTCCAGGAAGCCATTTGGTGCATATTAGTAGGCATGAATTCCGAGGCAGTGGGAAGACAGAGGCTTCTCACCCTGGTTCTCACCAGGGTCACAGCCATCAGTGGCACTTTCACGATGTCAACTTGATGGATTCGGTGCTCTGGGATTCCAGAAAAAGAGATAATTGAAAAACCAGAGCAGACAACACACAGAGACAGCACCAAGTCCAAATGCCAGGGCCTTCGGCAAGACCCCAGGAATGTGTGCTTGCTGACATCGTCCCTACTGTTCGTCATTGCCTCCCTCAGCAAACAGATGTTTGGCAGTAATTATCCACCATAGCCTCAGAGCACAGCACCCACAAAAGACGTGCAGCCACGATGGCGGGAGTAGCTGTCAGTACCCACAGTTCATACCTTCCCCCTTTTACATTTATAGGTGGGAGAATTGAATCCAGGGCATAAACTGCATGCCCAGGTCACATCTGACCGGGACCTTCTCACTAGAAGGCTTTGTGGACAGGTCAGCTTTGTCTACAGTGAATTCCTGGTACGGGTTACCTGCTGAGCCAACAGGGCTATGCTTAGCTCTCAGTTCAAAGTCAGGATTACCGGCCCCAAGCATGGAAGAGGATGGTGCATTATGGTGTGGAGGCAGGAGGAGCAAATGGTTTCATTTCAAACTGGAGCAAAGATCAGGGTCCCACACACCCCAATGGCCTAAAGACCTCCCTATAGACCCAATCCCTTTCTCTCTCTCTCTCTCTCTCTCTCTCTCTCTCTCTCTCTCTCATGTGTGTGTGCGTGTGCGTGTGTGTGTGTGTGTGTGTTTATTCCTCTGCCTCTTGAGTGCTGGAATTAAAGGTACACACCACCATGTCCAGCTGTCCCTCCTCCTAGGTCCTCTGCATTTCCAGCCAACCACCTTAAGAGCCTTTACACACTGACACTAAATATCCCAAGCAGAGCAGTGTGATTCCACAGATCTGCTCTTCCTGCCATGGAAATTTCCTACCATGCAATTCCTTGCCTCTCAGCTTGAAATCTGGAAGGCCAGTGGACTGGAGACAAGAAGTCAAGAGATGCCATCACAGGCCGTGGTATCCCATCTCTCTGCCTGCGAAACCTCAGGCAGATAGCCTCGGTTTCTTCCTTTGCAGGGTGGGGCCGTGACACATGAGTTGAGTGATGGGGGGTTCACACTTGTGAACAGTTCACACATGAAGCAACCGCCCTCAGCAGTTAGTTTGCCTTCATCTGGAAACCTGATGGGACTGGACGGAAGTAGCCATGGCAGCAGAAAGACCCACAAAGAAACAAGAGCAGGACAGACCACACAGCACAGTGCTGCACGCTGGGGCTACCATCACAAAGACCCACAGACTAGACAGCAAGACCCTGAAAATGGGTTTCGAGAGGCCTAGGTCGGAAACCAAGGTGTCAGCGGGACTATGGTGTCCGGAAGTGACCAGGTAATACACGCTCTAGCCTCTCCCTGGCCTGTGACTGGTGGCCAGTCCATTGGCTGGCCCACAGATAGAAACCTTCAGCCTCTTCATATCTTCACACATCCCTTCTTCCCTTTTCTTTCCTCAAGAGAACAGTATCCACTGCATCAGGCACCACCCTCGGGACCTCACCATGACTACACTCCCTAGGCTCCTACTTCCACGTAAGGTCACACTCATTGACACTAGGGCTGAGGTGTAAATGTGTCCAACCTGCCCCTAGGGCAACATGGGTCTGAGGGTGGCTATGAATGTGGCCACAAACATTTGTAGACAGTGAGTTCATGCCATAGTATCAAAAGACTGGACAGCCCTGGACTAGGACATCAACCCATCTTTAGGGGAAGCACAGCTCAAACTGTAATAGGCAGCCCTGCTGGTGGTGACTTGTCATTGAGCTGACTGACTTCAAGGCCCTCTGGCTGCCAGAGGGTCCACGGAGTCCCTCGAGGGGTGAAAAATGCCTGGGATACAACAGTTTCTATTGGGTACTTTCCCAGTGCTGTAAGAAAACACCCAGTGAAAGCAATTTAAAGATTTGTTTGACTCACGGTTCAAGGTTACAGTCCATGACGGAGGGGGAGCATGACAACAGGATCGTGAGGTAGCTGGTCACAGGGCATCCAGTCAGGAAGCAGAGAGAAGGCTACTGCTTGGCTCTCCTTCCCCTTTTCCTTCTGTCTGGAATCCTAGGCCACGAAATGATGCGGTCAACATTTGGGATGGGTCTCCCTGCCTCAGTAAGTCAAATCTAGAAACTCCCTCAGACACTCAGGTTTGTCTCTATAGTGACTCTAGATCCTGCTAAGGTGACAGTATTAACCACCACACAGTGTCGTTCATTCCAAAGGGTCCCTCAGTCTTACCCCATCCACTCTAGGCTGAAGGGAAGCCCTTCCAAGGCCCCTTCACCTGTCAGGTGAAGGCCCTGGGCTGTTCCAAACTCTCCCAGGGAACAGGTGAGCTATGGAGACATGAAGGAGCCACTTCTCATGATTGTGACCTGAACTTCCTTTTTAGGTCAGGGGGCATCTCTGAGAAACCCACAATGGACAGTGGACAAGGCTGCCTGCCTGAGGTCTTGACTGGGAAACAAGGGTCGAAACTCCAGATATCCACTGTGGCATTGATCTCCATCCGCCCCACTCCTCCCCCCATCCCTGGGTCCCCACTTCATCAGACAGAAACTCTCTGAAGACCTGGGAGCAAAGACCCTATGCAAGTGGCTGGCCTGGCCTTTCCGTGCCATGGATGCATCTGAACTCAGCACAACCAGCTAGAAGCAAGGGCTCTGTTCTCCTCAGCCCCTAGGCCCTTCCAGGGTGTGACGCTCAATCTTCACTATTGCCATGCTGAACTTAGAATCACCATAGAGACAAATCTCTAGGCATGTACCTGAGGGGCTTTCTTGATCTGTTTTACTGAGATGGAAAAACTCATGCCCCTCCTTTTGAAACCATGTAATATTCCCCAGGTGCCTATCAGTCGTCTTCCCATACCCTCTTCTGCCCAGACCATCCAATGACCTGGCCTAGCACCAACTGCGCACAAAACGCTGTGGATGCCTGAGATGGGGACTACTGGGGCAGCACAGCAAGGCATATCTGCTCTGATGAACACCCCAGGTACCATGTCTGCTGCTCTTCCGGTCCCACCCGTAGTGTAGGAATAGGACAACTTCCTTGAACTGACCCCCTGAGATGGTCAGTCTTCAAACACTGTGCTCTTCTGAAATATGGACACTCTTGGGAGTAACTTTCATCTTCACGTACCTGACTCCATCAACCTGCGCTGCATTTGATGTGACCTCTGCCCCTGTTTTCACAATCTTTGCCTCTGTTTCTTTCTGTTTTGCACTCATTTATTACAAACAAGGATATCGATGTCCTAATCGGTTGTGGTTCACAGAAATGGCAGACCTTTCCCCCAGTTCTTCCTTGGCCATTTCACCTTGTGTCCTGATGCCTAGGTCTTTGTACAGGTCATTTGTCAGTCCTTCCAGATGTGCTTTTCTACTTTCTGGTCTTGGCTAAAGGTCAGCTGCTCACCTCAGTCCCATAGTCAAAGCCTAAGGTTGTACCTGAGGGAGTCGGAGCATCACGAACGCTCTGCTTGTTTGTCTGTGTTCCTATGTGTCAAACCCAGCTTTCCTCCCATGCTAGGCAAAGTGCCCTCTCAGGTAGGTCCCCAGCTACCCAAAGCTTCCTGCCCTTCTGGAAGCAACTGTCCCCTGGCAAGGCTGCAATCCCCGTGGCACCTGGCTGCAGACCTGGCCTTTCCTCCTTCCTGTTCTGGATCCCCAGCTCCAGGAAGACCGCCATTTGAGTCCAAAGGTTCCTGGGAATGGCTCTCTTATTTTTGGCAGGTTGCTGAGTTTTCTAAAAAGAAATTGGCTGTGTTGGCCTGGGGTTGCACTGGTGGCCACAGGTATCTGTGTACCCTGCTGAGCAGAGTGTTCCCCAGTGTCTATAGAAAAAGCTGAGGAGTCTCTTGGGGGTACTGAGATGCCCTCACCACCACATGTGTGTAGGAATCTTGGTGAGGCAAGCTAAAGGATAAGCCATGTAGATCAATGCCCCTGGCCAGAGCCAACGGCACAGGCAAGCAGACCAAGAAAGTGTGTCCGCATAGGAAAAAGTGGCCAGATCCCGCTCCCACTGACCTCCTTGAATGACAGCTTCCAAGGCTTCTGGGAGTCTCCACTCAAGGCTGCACTAGGAGCTGCCTGAGGCCAATGGGCAAAGTGGGATTTCAGCCAATACTTGCTGAATGCCAAGTGGGGCAGAGGATGTCTCGCCAGGTCAGGGAGAAGAGAGCTTGGCCTTGCCCTGGGGAAAGCCACACGATAAGGCGAGTACCTGCAGGGAGCTATATGCAGGAGGACAGGACCAACCAGAGGCTACTTCAATGGTGGGGTTTTCTGGGGCCCCACGAGCCTGCTCCAGTGTCTGCCAGACCTAGAGAGCAATACAGGAGGCCAGCAACACAGTCATCCTGGAAGACTGGCCAGAAACATCAGGAGAACGCTACAGCATACAGCTATCCCCACACCCGGCACCCAGGGCAAGATGGTAACACAAAGGCCATTACCACTCTATGAGCAGCAACAGCAAGCGTGGGTCTGACACCTCTTAGGTGATTACAGAAACTCAAGCTGGAGTCTCCCCAGATACACAGTGCTATCAGCCGCATGTGAAACCCCGCTTGAGGGCCTGGGGGTCCTCATGCATTTGGCTGACCCACATGGATGTCTAGTCTGGTCTTTCTGAGCACAGAGAAACAACGCTCTCATCTGACCCATTGTTCACATGGCTTTAGGCCTCCGCAGAGTCTAACATGGACAAGAAGGATCTATAAGGAAAGTCAAAGAGAGTTCAGAGGAGGAGAAAATTAGATATTGTATTATGGGACCGTTCCGAGCCTTCACCTATCCAGTCCCCTGCATCTCTCCGGCCCCTGCCAGAGTCCACTCCAGTCTCTTGGGGTACTTTGTTCTAGATAGTCTGATGCATTGACCTTTCCCCAGAAATAATTCATGTGCCACTGAACTCCTAGAGAGGTCACAGGCTGGCAGTAACCTCGTCTCTAGGGCACAGGACGTTCTTCATTGTGAGGTCATCTGGGCACACGCTACCAACATCATGAATGGCTTTGCTGAAAGTTGTCTTTCTTCCAAATAGACCAGAGTGCGCACTGTCAGAGGAGCCCGGTGACCAGTGGAAAGGGTTACACCCAAGAGCTTAGGTCCTGCTGGAAGCTAAAACACTATGCATCACTGACGACTTGAACCAAGGTCAATTTGGAGAAAGAACTCACTAGGGGGGGTCTAGCCACCACGTGGGGGTGTGAAAGTCCTGGAGTCCAAAGGGGCGGGGCACCCACTCTGCTTCCACGCCTCCTCATTCAACAGGCTAATTACCTTTATCCATGTGTCTGTGGTGACCACTTGGGCCTCTCAACTAAAATGAACATGAGCCGGGCGGGGGTGGCGCATGCCTTTAATCCCAGCACTTGGGAGGCAGAGGCAGGTGGATCTCTGTGAGTTCGAGGCCAGCCTGGTCTACAAGAGCTAGTTCTGGGACAGGCACCAAAGCTACAGAGAAACCTTGCCTCGAAAAACCAAAAAAATAAAAAATAAATAAATAAAATGAACATGAGTTAATCCCTGCTCTGGGCTGTAACTGGGTGATGGTGGTGCACACCTTAAGTCCCAGCACTCAACTCAGGAGGCAGTGACAGGCAGATCTCTGTGAGTTCGAAGACAGCCTGGCCTACAAGCAAGTTCCAGGACAGCTAGGGCTGTTACACAGAGAAATCCTGTCTCAAAATAAATAGATAAATAAACAAACAAACTATGGACTGTGCTCAATTCAAGTTTGCCTCTGTATTCCTGAACCTAGAAGAGTGTGACCAGTTGTCTTTCCCCAGTAATATTCGTATCCAACCACTGGTGTGTGCAGCGCACAACTCCTGTCTGTGCTCTATGTGCTACCATACAGTTTGCAAGCTTCTGGCAAGGGGCTGGAGGTTGAAACATACAAAGACACACAGAGACAGAGACATGGACCTCTAGTCACCAGTAAGAAGCCCTCTATTCAATACCACCATGGAGGCTTATATACCCAACAGTCAGGTGGGTCAACAGGTGAAAACCTTATTCTCTGATCCTCAAGGCCAAGGCAACACGTGCTCGTGAAGCAGAGCTGGTAAACAACTTTGACACAGCTTTCAGTAACTCAAAAGAGAAGGAAAGGAAAGATCTCTAGCAGGGAAGAGCAACTGGAGGCCAGGACTCCAAATGGTCCCCACAGGTGTGCCCACACATTGGCCCTTAAGCATCCTCCACTCCTAGACAATAGCTATCAATAGACTTTCAGCTTTCTCAAGGACATCTTCTGACCCACTCCCATTCCTGCCCTGTCCAGCCCTGACACCTAGCTGTACAGAACCCTCCCGAGTGCCTGAGACAAAATCAGCCCCTGTGACTGTGAGTCCCCGCTGAGATCAAACAGAACGCCTTTTCTGACCATTACAGAATGTTCCATGGAGACCTCCAGTGCTTCTGAGAACTATAAGGGAAAAGCCTTAGGAGAACTGGAAAGCCTACAGCCCACTAGCTCCCCTGCTAAAGCCCTCAGTAGGTCCATATGCTCAAGGTGTGTGTCCAAGCGTCTGCCCCCTTACCTACCCTCCCGGAATGCTATGACCTCTACAAGATGCACTGGGGATGGGACAGGTAGATTCATACTTTTCAGGCTGGAAAACCCATCCGGTGTCCCGAAGAAATGGGTGGGATTTCCTCACTGTTCATTAGAGTGTTCTTGTTTCTCTCGTAAATATCAGGACTTGTCTTGCTCCTGCTGAGTCCAGGATGTGTCTGAGAGAAACATGTCACAGGCCTGTCCACAAGGGTTTACAGCCCCTTGGGAAGAAACATCAATGGAACCGGTAAAAACCAACACACAAAACACACTCTCTAAGCACCAGGAACTCAGCGCAGAGTTGGGGCGTGGTGGCAGAGAATGACAGTGAACACAGAAATGACTCCTCCTGCTAGGACAGGGGCAGATAGCCTCCGGATTTCAGATGCACAGGTCTCAGAAACCATGCCCTTAGGTGCCTGACTCTGCATCCTGAGAGCCCTGGGAACAAACCCAGAGCTGGGACCCCCAGCACGCCATGTCTTTTCTAGGTTAGGTCCAACGGACAAAAAGTCCTGCATGACATAATCACCGTTCCCAGCAGAAGTCCCAAACATGCTAACTACAGTCCTAGACCTAAGGACACCAGCAAGTACCTTTTATTTTATATTTTGGGTGGTGGGCAGGCCCTCAGAGAGGGGGAAACATGTAGTAGGCAGGGTGGACCGTAACACACTTTGGACTAACAGTATCCAGCTGCATAATTAACCCAAGGGGAAAAGATGTCACCTCCAAGGAAAAAAGATCCCCAGGGTCTAGTGCCAGAAGCCACCCTGGAGATCCAAAGGTCCCATTGCATCACGTGGGCAGCAGCCACCTCATCCATGGTGGGGGCACCTGGGCCCAGTCTCCTCCCAGGTGCCTACTCATGCCAGAGTGTGGAAGGGTTCAGAGGGTAAGAGCTCCACTCGGCGTTTTTGCACCTCAGCCCACAGCTGGAAAGACCCCACCTCACACCCTCATCCCGGAGCTGGCTGGAAAGAACTGAAAGGCAGGCAGGTGTCTGTCTTCTGTGCCAGGAAAGCAAGCAGGAGAAAGGCTGCAAGCTGTGTTGACGAGGAGGCAGGAGAATAAGAGTAAACTACAACCAGGCACGGAGATAAAAATAACAGCGGTACAGGAGGTCCTGCCAAGAGGAGGCTATGCTCACAAGGTCTAATCGCTTGGGAGCCTGGGGCTGAGACCTAGGCTGAGGACACAGTGGTACCCATAGCCCCAGGCAGCGTGGGGTGCTGGCTCCCACCTGGCTGAGTCTTTCTCTGCCTCGCATCAGGCTCCTTGGCTCCTGCAAAAGTTCAGCTGGGGCACAGGTCTCCCGCACACTGCAGCCAGCCTTGTAAACAGCTCTCGGGCCAGCTCCAAAGGACCACAAAGCAACATCTGGGACTGTTTCCAAGCTGGGAGTCATCCCCAGCTGTGCGACCTTGAGTCAGTCACCTTGCTCTGAGAGCCTCCTTGGGCAGCTCTTCTCAGGGTGAGGGGGTGTGGACCGGCAGTGCTGGGGCCCTAAACACCGGCTCTCTGTGCTTGGAAGAAGACCGTTTACAAGGGAGCCCGGGTGTGCAGTTCAGGCAGTTGGTCTCCAGCTGCGCTGTTGGGAACATCAGTACTC